TACTTATTTAATTGTACTAGCTGATTCCATGTGTTACATACACTGATGAGACTTGAAGAGAATGCATGTCCTTGCCTTGTTTCTTGTTTTGTGGAAATATTTCAAGTATCCTCCATTAATCAGGATGTCATTTATGGACATGCTGCATAGTGTTTTCATTATGCTGATTCAGTCCTCATGTATCTCCAATCTGGACCCTTCATCATGAGGGATATTAACAGAAGAAAGTCACTGAGAAAGAAAAGACATAAAAACTGTCCTGTTCACAAAAACACCAAAGAAAATCATAAAACCAGCCTAAATGAGGAAATGTAAGACCTGTAAAATAAAAACTTTAATACACTGGAAAGACACTGAAGAAGATGCCGAAAGATGAAAAGAATTCTCATGCTCACATATCAGTAAGATTTATACTCTGGAAATGGCCATCATAACCAAAGCAATCCATAGATTCATTACAATCCCCATTAGCATTTTAAACAAATTTTCACAGAAAATTTTAAAAAAATCATAAAATTAGTACAGGAACAATAAATAAGACTGATAATGTAATTGCAATCAATATAAATACTTCTGAAAGTATCATCTTCTCATATGCAAGCCATATTATAGAACCACAGTATAAGAAAAGACATGATGCTGACTTTAAAACAGTCACATTGAACAATGGTTCAATGATCTAGAATTGATGATCACATAAAGTCTCCCTCCTTGAGCCACCTGATTTGTGGCAAAGAGGCCAGTAAGACAGCTTGTGTAGAAGAAAGAAAGAAAATCCTTACTTGTCACTTTGAATAAGACTCAACTTCAACTTTATCAAGTAACTCAACATAAGACCTATTACCTTGAGATTTTTTGGAGGAGAAAATCAATAAAACTTCTTTGATTATAGGCACAGAAAAGGGCTTTCTGAATAGGGCTCTAATAGCAAAAGCATGAATGCCAATAATTGGTAAATGAAAGCTTATGAAATAAAAAAGCTTCTGCATAGCAAGGGAACCAACATTCAAGTGAAGAGGCAGCCTATGAAATATAAAAAAATACTGTATCAGCTTTAAATCTGACAGAATATATAAGTGTCTGAACTATACACATACATGAAACCTCCAAAGCAACAAAACACCTCAAGGCAACAAAATAATTAAAACTTGGTGCATAGACCTAAACGGATTTCTCAAAAGAAGATATAAGAATGATTAATAAAGAGTTTTTCTTTAATCTTCACCATCCTTAATCATCAGGGAAAAAACAAATTAAAACCATTTGAGACTCAATTTTTTTTCATTTTTTTATTTAATTTTTTACACATGTTACTCTCAGTTCCCTCTCCCTTCCCTCTTCTCCCAACCCCCAATCCTCCTAACCCCTCACCCCCACTCCATCCCCACTCTGCTCCCCAGGGAGGGCAAGGGCTTCCATGAGGGATTTTCAGAGTCTGTCACATCATTCCGGGAAGGGCCTAGGTTCTTCCCCATGTGTTCAGGCTGAGAGAGCAACCCTCCACGTGGTATGGGTTTCAAGAGTCCCTCTGTATGCCAGGAATAAATGCTGCTCTACTCTCCAAGGACCCACAGATTGCCACGGCCATCTCTCTGTTACCCAGGTTCAGTGGGAGGGATGTCTGGATCAGTCCCATGCTGGCGCCTCAGTCATCAGTCTGGGATGCATGTGTTCCCCCTGTGGGTTTCGCCAGCTGGATCTTGATTCCTTTGGTCGTCACTCCTTTTTACAATTGGGTTCCAGGAGTTTTATTCGGTTCATAGCTGTGGGTGTCTGCCTCTGCCTCCATCAGCCACTGGATGAGAGTTCTAGGATGGCATATGAGGTAGTCATCATTCTCATTATCATGGGAGGGTATTTAAGGTAGCCTTAATGCAAGTTGGTACATTCATGTAGATCTGTGAAGACCTCACTAGTGCTAGATCACTCCTCCAACTTATAATGGCTCCCTCTTTTATGGTATCTCCCATCGTTTTCTCCTCTGTTCTTACCCTGGTTCAACTTTCCTGCTCTCCCATGTCCTCCTCTCTCCTCCTATTTTCTCCCTCTCTTTCTCCCATCTCCTTCTGCCATCCCCTTTTACCCCCAAATCCAATTAGAAGATCTCATCCCATACCCTCTCTCTGGGTTGCCATGCATATCTCTGTTAGGGTGCTACCTGCACCCCAGACTATCTGACGGTAGGATTGTAGGCTGGCAATGCGCTGCTCCATGTCTGAAATCCATATATAAGTGAGTAAATACCATGCTTGTCTTTTTGTGACTGGGTTATCTCACTCAGGATGGTTTCTTCTAGTGCCATCCATTTGCCTGCAAATTTCAAGATTCCATTTTTTTCTGCTGAGTAGTACTCCATTGTGTAAATGTACCACGTATTCTCTATCCACTCTTCAGTTGAGGGGCATCTAGGTTCTTTCCAGGTTCTGACTATTACAAATAATGCTGCTGTGAACATGTTTGAGCAGATGTCCTTATTGTATGAGGGTACATCTTTTGGATGTATGCCTAAGAGTGGAATTGATGGGTCTTGTGGGAGACTGATTTCCATTTCCTGAGGAATCTCCATACTGATCTCCAAAGTGGCTGCACAAGTTGTTATTCCCACTGGCAGTGGAGGTTTGTATCCAATTCTCCAAATCCTCTCCAGGATAAACTGTCATTAGTGTTTTTGATTTTAGCCTTTTGGATGGGAGTGAGATGGTATCTCAGAGTTGTTTTGATTTGCATTTCCCTAATGGCTAATGATGTTGAGCGCTTTCTCAAGTGTCTCTTGGCCATTTTAGACCCCTCTATTGAGAATTCTCTATTTAGTTCTATACCGCATTTTATAATTGAATCCTTTGGTTTTCTGGAGACTTGCTTCTTCAGTTATTTGTAAATTTTGGAGATCAGCCCTCTCTCAGATATGGGGTTTGTGAATATCTTTTCCCATTTTGTGGGCTGTCATTTTCTCTTGTTGAATGTGTCCTTTGCCCTGCAGAAGCTCCTCAGTTACAGGAAGTCCCATTTATTAATTGTCAATCTCAGTGTCTGTGCTAGTGGTGTTATAATCAGGAAGCAGTCTCCTGTACCAATTCATTCAAGGTACCTCCCAATTGCTCTTCTAAGAGGTTCAGTGTGGCTGGATTTATGTTCAGGTCTTTAATTCAATGGAACTTAAGTTTTATGCATGGAAATATACATGGATCTATCTGCAATCTTCTACATGCCAGCATCCAGTTATGCCAGAACCACTTGTTGAAGATGCTTTATTTTTTTCCATTGTATAGTTTTAGCTTCTTTGTCAAAGATTGGGTGTTCAAGGTGTGTGGTTTGATATCAGGGTCTTCGATTTGATTCCATTGGTCTACCTGTCTGTTTTTGTGCTAATGTCAAGCTGTTTTCAGGACGATAGCTCTATCATAGAGCTTGAAGTCAGGGATGGTGATGCCTCCGGAAGTTCCTTTATTGTACAGGGTTGCCTTGGCTAACCTGGGTCTTTTGTTTTTACATTTGATGTTGAGGATTGTCCTTTTGAGGTCAGTGAAAAATTGTGCTGGTATTTTGATAGGGATTGCATTGAATCTGTAACTTGCTTTTGGTAAGATTGCCATTTTTACTACATTGATCCTACCTATCCAGAGCATGGGAGATCTATCCATTTTCTGGTATCTTCTTTAATTTCTTTCTTTAAAGACTCAAAGTTCTTGTTATACAGGTCTTTCACCTATTTGGTTAGAGTTGCCCCAAGATATTTTATAGTGTATGGCTATTGTAAATGGTGATGTTTCTCTTATTTCTTTCTCATCCCCTTTATTGTCTATATATAGTAGGGTTACTGATATTTTTTAGTTAATTTTGTATCCTGCCACTTCACTGAAGGTGTTTATCAGCTGTAGGAATTTCCCGGTAGAATCCTTTGGGTTGCTTACATAGACTATCATATCATCTGCAAATAGTGAAAGTTTGATTTCTTCCTTTCTAATTTGTATCACCTTGATCTCCTTTTGTTGTCTTATTGCTGTAGCTAGAACTTCAAGTACAATATTTTATACAAATTAAGTGGCCAATATAACAACAACAACAACAAAAATCCGTAACGAATGCTAGTATGGATATAGAGAAACTTACTCACTCTTGATGAGAGTTCAAAATAGGGAATCCTCTGTGAAAAGTAGTGTGAAATTCCCTCAAAAAGCTAGAGATACAATCTTACAACCCATCTACATTACCCCAAATCTTACTACACACATACTTGTTCATTATGTTCATTTTGTTCTGCCCACTATACCTAGAAAATAGAAACACCCCACATATCCACCAGTATATTAATTAATAATGTAAACAAAATTTTCATGTAAATTGATAGAGCAGAAATTATCATTTACACTTATTAAATTCAACCCCCAAATATAAATGTTGACATGCTACATGTTCTTTATCATATAGAAATTCCATCTTTAAATTTTCACAGACAGACAGACAAACAAATTTGCACTTTATACTAACATAGTGATTTTAAGTGGAGTTACCTCATATTGGGATGATTAAACTTAAATGTGATATTTTAGACAACCTAAAGAAGACTGCAAAGTAGTAAAGGTCTTTGTGGTGATTTGGGAGATAAATTGAGAACATAAAGAGAGAGAGATTGATAATAATGTAGGATATGTTAAATGATGTGTAGGATGGAAAGGGAGGGTAGAAGAGGGAGCATAAGAGGGATATCTAGTTCTTCAAAATTGACATGTGGAAATGTACTACTCTATCAGCTGCTTAAAGGAAACACACACACACACATACACACACACACACACACACACACACACACATGCACACACACACACCACAGATGGAGAGAGAAAAACAGAGAGGCAGAGGCAGATGGAGTATTTGTATAAACTAAATATCAAAATGACAGTAAATGCCCATACTCTTGGCAAATAATCATGGGAAATAATGCCTCCTCACTTTAACAAAGAAATGTTTTTTTAAATAATAAGTGATACACATTTCCTTAGTCTATAATTAAAAGCTAGGTACTGTCAGTTAATCCCTGAAGCTGCAGCGCAGCTCAGGCTTCTGAAGCTTTAGAGTATCCTCCTTCTGTCATTTCTGCAAGTACTTTGCCAGCCCTGACAGGTGGGCCCACGGTGTGTAAAAAGCAGCCTCAGGAAGCACTGGGGTCAAGTCAGTTAAGGAATCCCCCGTGGTCTCTTCTTCAGCTTCAGCCTCTAGGTTCCTGCTTGAGTTCTCTCAGTGATGGTGAGGGACCTGTGTATTGTAGTAAGAGATAAACCATTTCATCCCCAAGTTGGTTTTGGTAACGGTGTTCATCACAATACAAACCAAACTAAGACAGGGCTTAATAAAACCAATATTTGTTCCCCCAAACCAAGCCAGAAACAGTTCTAGAGCATGAATGGCACTTTAGTACATTTTAAATTTCCTGTGTCTCCCCAAAAGTAAGTTAGCTCTGTGAAGTGTATTAGAAATGAATGCTTTATCAAAAAGCACATGCTGGCAGCTTGTGTAGAGCAATGTGCTTCTTCTGACCAAGAAGAAAAAATAACGTAGAAAGTAAAGAGGAAAATTTCCATAAATACTTAGAACTTAAAGTACAAAGGAACCCTCTTAGTAACTCGGGTGACAGACAGCAGGCTTCTGCCCCAGTTCTTGATTTCAAAGAAAATACTGAGCAAAGACCTACTTCCCACCTTCTTCCTTTCATTTCATGTCTTATTCCTTTCCACACTCTTAGGAACCTGTCTTTTGGGACAGAACTTCTGATTTCAGGCCTAGGGACTGCAGGAAGTAGGGAAGATACTCAAGAGTGAGTAGTTTTATGTTTCTTTTTTGCTTTTTTGTTGTTTTGTTTGTTGGGTTTGGGTTTTGCTTTGGCTTGGTTCTTACAGATAGACTAAAGTTTAAATTTCTGCACCAATGCCATAGCTTCTGCTTCTCTGAGATTGAACTCTGACTTGCCCAGCCCAACTCACATTCTGCCAGCGTCCTCGTTGTGCTCCTCGGAGAGCTGATTTGGAAGGGTTCTCATGAAGGGTGTGCACACTGAAGTTTAGCCAGGGTCTCCCGATTATGGAATTGTCTCCGTGTGAGTGGCCTTCGTTATAGGCAGCACTCAGAGACAGTGCACAGACTCTCCCTCTTTAGCTCTTATACCAGCGAAATTGCCCCCATTCTGGTCTAACTGGAAAGACAGTATTTGCTTTTTTTAAAAAGAAATATCGAGTACTTTCAGAGTATTGAAGATACATTGCTTTTGAGTAATTGATACTTCTTAGCATTCTGCAACAACTGATATCTGGGTATCTTAGGTTATAATGATGTAGAGCATGTTTTCACAGTTTAGGATTTAACTTTCCTGACACCTCTGCGCCAAAGCTCAAGTTATCAGTGGGATTGCAAGTTCAATTTGTATTATTTATCACTCTGGATTTGAATTAAGTGGATTAAATAGCACTTTCTCACTTATATTCATGGTTTGTTTCACATATAACATCATACAACTTTCTTTTCACATTCTTAATTTATGACCAATTTCCTTAATAATCTGTAGAGCATAAGGTTAATGTGTGGACTCAGAATTGACCTTGTCATAAAATTATCAGCATAACTTAAGCAATTATTTTAACATTTATGTCTGTATTTCCTTCATGTGGAATACAAAAGCTGATATGCCCATCTCATGCAAAAATCTATGAATTTCAATACACAATCCTATAGCCCCACTGTTATGCACTAAAAAGTTAATGAATAAGATGGGAGGTTAGTGACGCCAGCAGTCCATAGTATCTTGAGGCTTTACTGCCTTCTGCACATGTGTTCCTCGGAGAGTGCATGCTGCTGGTCTTGCATCTTGTCTTCACATTTAGTTCAACCCTTGGTAGGAACTCTGGGTTCAGTGGGAGTTTAGGACTTTAAAAAAATTGTATTTCTTGCTTAATCTCTTGCCCCTATTCTAGGTTTTAATCTAGATACTTCCTTAGAAAATAATGATAATAATAATTATTGTTATTATAAATAATGATGATGACAATTACAATGATAATAATGATGTTAATATGATTAAACAATTACTTTTCACTTTTGTTACACAGGAAATTGAAAAACCACCAATACACATAGGTGAGATGGCATTTGAAGACACAAGCACTTCTAACACATTCACATTGGATTTATCATGCTGTGTACGTATGCATAAAGGGCTTGGAAGCATACACACCATAATGACAAATTAGAATTGGTTATCAAATGTCATCATTACAATTTTTATGCATTTTAACTTTCGATGAGTACCCCTCTTCTGAACTCACTAATGCAACGTTTGTCTTGTAGTATAAAATTCCCACATCTTTATATTTTGCCGGTTATAAGGGTGAGACTCCCTGGGTTTATCTTTTAAATATCTAGCATCCTTTTACAGTTTGGGACACACAATTCACAATCAGAAATATTTCATAAATAAATTGCATATATCTGTCTTTAATTTTGGTGATGAGCATTGACATGAGACACTGTAACAAGAAAATATATAATTATAATAATTAAATAGTAATAAATGTGAGGACTTATTGGATATCAACATTAGACATATCTTCATTATTAAGAAAGATGGAAAGTTGGGGAAGAGTATGCCTGTGTGTGTCAATGGGAAATGTAGGCCTGGGGGACACTGTAACATTTGTTTAAAGACATTGATGCATATGCAGCTCACGCATTTGCTGTCTTTCTTGCAGGAACTTGGTTTCAGCCTCTACTTTTTTATTAGTGGAATAATCTTAAAATATACTTTCTTATCCTGGGTTTTATAGCGTCACATTCCCACAAATACCTAATTACCGTGAGCATATCACCCACATACCTTACTATGCTTCCATTTCTTGCCCCTCTGCCTCCTATTATGGCCTCTATTCCTTTAAGAATTTAGCTTCTGTGTTCATGTTATATGCATATTGCTCACAGACCCAACCCTTTCAAAACTGCAAGTCCCTCAGCCACAGCCATAAACAGCAAGGTAGATAGAATCAAGCAGATGTTCAGGATTTTTTCTCTATAACATGTGAAACAGCAGCTATAATTTATTCTTCTGGAAAAGCTTTGTATTTGCAGTGGTCAATTCCAATATTTATTCAGTAAAAATATTAGACATCATGATATTCATGGTACCTTTACTAAATAAATATAATTTGCAAAAATACATTCATTATGAGTCCTGTCATCAGCAAGAAAGTGGCTTTGTAGAGAAAAGGGAGATTTGGGATGAGGCACTCAGAGGTAGATGTGCTTCTGCTGGTGTGTTCATAACCCCAGTCACACAAATCCACAGATCATTCTTTTCATCTATAGAAATTCTAACAATAAGCCTTTCTGTAAATCAGATCTTGATGTCAATTTAAAAAAACATTGCAGAAGTTTGAGAGATAAAGATGGGGGAAAACTGAGAATGGAAAATAGAGACTTTATAATTAGGGAAATATTTTAAATGACTATGTAATTCTAAAACAAATGAACTCCAACGACTACTGAAATTTCTAAAAGAAGGCTGCAACTACAAACATAAGTTGTAGTGTGACTCATCACAGGGCAAAGTACAGTTCTTCAAGTAGAAAAGCCTTGATTGTGCCAGTAAGAAAATATATTTTTCTATGTGAAAATTTAGACTTAAGCTCATTCGAAATAGTAAATTCTTACTTCTCAGTTTTGCATATCAAATTACATGAGAAATCTTGATACAAACCATATTGATTATGTTGTTATGAACAATATCAGATGATGATGTTAACACCTGTGAGAAAACATGTAATATCAAAATTATGTTGAAAATTATGAATAGTTGATATATAAAAAGCAGCATATCTTATAATTGTAGAAACTATTCAAATAAAATATGAATGCAATTGGGAGAAAAATATTTCATGTTTGTCCTTGTTATAACATGAATATACATAATGCAAAACAGATGAATGCTGAATATGATTATATACTTTAATTTTCTTGAAAACAATATAATGAGTTTTAAAAGAATATATTGTTTATACAGCTGTGTATGTAAATCAGCATCCCACTACTTTAACAAGGCACTGGAATCGAAAGACTTATAAATAAAGAAATCTTTTGAGGTCTCAGAATGGCAGGTATCATTTCATATTAGTTTTAAGGCTTAGTGCAAGGCAGCCCATGACAGGATAATCCAGCAGGTTGTTGTTAAGTTATGCTACTCACCACAGACATTGGAAAGAGGAATAGTGGGGGAATGGGATAGCTAATCCTGGTTGTTAGAGTAACATACCTGGAAAAAAGGGAGCCCCGGTTGAAGCATTGCCTCCATCTGGTTGGGCTACCGCATTTTCTAGACAGTTAATTGATGCAATAGGCTCCAGCTTATTGAGAGTGGTACACCCCTAATGAGGTGAAGCTAGGTTGATAAAAAATGACAGTTCACACTGAACTTAGAGAGAATCCAATATTCATGCTTACCTCGTTGTTTCTGCTTTGGTTCCTGTCTTGAATTTCCTCACCGATGGCATGAAACCTGTAAGATGAGATAAACTCTCTCCTCACCAATATGCTTTAGGTTATAGTTTTTATCACAGTAATGAAAAAGCAAGCTAGAAAAGGGAAAGGAGGACAGGAAAGGAGAGAGGAGGTAAGACAAGGAGAAGGGAAAGGAAGGGAATAAAGGAGAAAGGAGAGGAAAGGAGAGAAGAGGAGAGGAGAAGAGGAGGAGAGGAGAGGAGGAGTGGAGGAGAGGAGAGGAGAGGAGGAGGAGAGGAGAGGAGGAGGACAGGAGAGGAGGAGGAGAGGAGAGGAGAGGAGAGGAGGGGAGGGGAGGGGAGGGGAGAGGAGAGGAGAGGAGGAGGAGAGGAGGAGGAGAGGAGAGGAGGAGAGGAGAGGAGGAGGAGAAGAGAGGAGGGGAGAAGGAGAGGAGGAGGAGAGGAGAGGAGGAGGAGAGGAGAGGAGGGGAGGGGAGGGGAGGGGAGAGGAGAGGAGGAGGAGAAGAGAGGAGACAAGAGGAGGAGAGGAGAGGACCACTGCAAGAAGCAAAGTTTTGTAATGGAGCATAGAGAGACACTCTAGACATAAATACCATGTATTTGTTGCTATTTATGGTGTGCAAGAATGATCCTACCTTTAAATTGTAACTCAACTCCAAGATCCCACACATAGAGTGTGGATCTTCACTTACATACCAAATAGAATTGGATCACATTATAAGTTTCAAGCTGCTGGGTTTCAAGAGGGAATCATTGAATTCAAATTAATGTTGAAGTTTCTTTTTACTAACAAATGTAAAGTTTGACAACAGTACCACTAGTGTTTGAAAAAGTTCAATTAACTTCAGAGATTTCGAGAAAACCACGAAGTTTCCATTTCCAGGCTCAGTCTTAACTGGGAAGTGACTTCTGGTACCTTCACCCTCCTCATAGAGAGCCACACTCATTTTACTTAGCAGCTGTAGCTCTAACTGTTAATCTCTGTGAAGAACCAAAGCTGACACTGCAGCTGAATATCTGAGCCAATATTGAAACTTCTGTTTATTTAAGCTAATGGCAATGCTCTTTAGTAAATGTTGTAATCACTAGTAAATGAGCCCTATAAAACTGACTTTTTATTTTTTGCATCATCTATACTTTTCCATGTATAGTAAAATGATAATGACAATTATGACAACTTCTCTGTGAGTCCCAGTTCTTATGTTAATCATTGCATGAAAAAAAAATGGATAGACAACGAAGGCAACATATTTACTGTTTATTAAAAAAGGTTGAAATTATACTATTCTGTGTTCCATCAATTCTGCTACTCAGTGTTTCAAAGAGGCTCCCATGATCATGCTGAGTATCTACTCTTATTCATGATGATGATGACACAGGTTCCATGCCTAAGTTTATCTGTGGACCACTTACAGTGAAAATATGCTATGTGGACAGACTGTAATGTAATCTATAAACACTTAAATACTCACTACTAAGAAATAATTGGCATGATCTATAAAAACGCAGAGGTTTATGTTATATTGAACAAGCAAACTTTGTGACAGGAAGTTAATTGTATTATAGGTAGAATATACAATAATTTTACAGAAAGATTTATCATTCAATTAATTTTTGTTGATATAAAATTGCTTATCTTGAAAAGATTTAAAGTTATATTTAAAAGGTTTGATTTTACCAAAAAGAATAAATAAATAAATAAATGCAAGCCTCCCTCCCATAGGTAATATTGTTATTTAAGGGAAACCACACAGTACTTTCAGTAAGTTAAATCTGAAGATATTTCCAGAATTTTTAAAAGCACATAGTGCTTGCTTTTGGATGTGGAGTTATGTTATGAAACAATATTTGGAAATCCGAAAAAGCTTCAGACATTAAATCAGAGTAGTGCATAATTTCATTGCATAGAAGTCTGAATTATTAATTAATAATTATCAACCATACTGTCTGATTAATTCGAATGACCCAAATACCTCCCTTTCTTACTAAATATTTTACTTTCTTGGAATATGGTACATTATTATACCAATTGAATTTTTAATATCTGTCAAATGCCATTGTAAGCTTTACAAAGGATTAGTGTAAGCAAACTGGTAAGCTGGGATATTATGGCTTCTACTCAACAACAAATTAAGAGAGAACAAGAAAATGAGTAGAACATTTGTGTCTTATTGAAATATCTGTGCAGCATGGGGGATACTCTGTCAGCTGGAGGGCCTAAGCCCTGCTCCAAATGATATGACAGACTTTGAAGATCCCACATGGAAGGCCTCACCCTCCCTGGGGAGCAGAAAGGGCATGGGATAGGGGGTTGGTGTGGGGGGCAGGGGAGGAGGGGAGGGAGAGGTAACTGGGCCTCACATGTAAAACAAGTTTGTTTCTAATTTAAATAAAAAGGAAAGTGTTAAGAGAAGCTTTTTCTTTTGCTAGCCGCTTTGGTTATTCCCCACCAGTCGCCTGGGCTCTGCCACGCCAGCCTGGTTCTAGATCCGCATGAGTCCCAAATAAACACACAGGAGGCTATATTAATTATGAAGCTGTTGGCCTTGTTTGTCTCTTACTGGCTAGCTCTGCCTTAAGTAATTACCCCATAATTGTGAATCTAAGTATGTTTCTTACCGGAGAATAGTTCCCGGCGTCCTACCCCCATGGCGTCACATGTTGACTCTCTTGTGTTTCCCCTTCCCAGAATCCTCCTCGACTCCTAGTCCCTCCTATCTAGGTTTTCTATTGGCCAGACAGTACTTTATTGACAAATGCACAGGCAAATAACAGGACGTCCCCAACAGGAAAGAAAAACGTCTGTGCAGAATTTTAAGCTCATTTGCATTTACCTAAGAACATATTTCAACTTAAAAACATTAATTTTCTGTATTTGTATTTGTCTATGAGTCTGTTTCTTGGACATTTAAGCACTTATTTATGGGAAGTGATCAAAATAATATCATTCTTATAACTTCCAGTTGACTTCTTTCCCAATTAGTTTTGTATAAGGAGACACATTCAAGACAGTTGTGTTAAGCATGTCCTCTTGACTGATGTTCAACAAGACACTGTCTTTAAAAATGACTGTCACATAAATAGCAACTCATAAATATGGACCCACTCTTATTGTTACCTTCCCACATGGATATATGCTAAAGGCATCTCTCCTGTTGTGGCATGATTGCTAAGGAGCTAAGTAAATTTTACCTGCTTGGAGACAATGAATGCAGCTAGTCTTGACATTTGGATTTGCTTGCTAAATGGCATTTGACAAGAGAGTACCTATCATCATGCTGAAGAGGGTACAAACCTATATAGGGTGTGCAATTATCACCATGTTTGCTTCACTACAAAATATAACTCCATTTCACTACTTTCTAATGTAGACTTTCAAAAGCGAAATATAATGAGAAGTATATACATAGACAGAATAAACTGCAAGCTTTGCCATGAGGCTTCCTTAGGCGATTTTAAATTGCATAACACCTCATCATCAACAGACTCAGTTCCACACAGAAGGCAGACACAGGGCACATTTCTGAAGCTGTAATAAATAACAAGTTCAAAATGCTGATATCAAAATTTGTGTCATGCTGAAGAACAGCCAGGAATAGAAATGTATCACACGTCCACCCTCCCTTTTGCTTTGAATAGGTTGGAAATTGGATTTGCCTTGTACTTTAAAAAAAACACAGTTTATGCTGAAGGAATATGTAATCTGCTTTTCCATTTAGCTTAGCACAGTAAGTTAAAACATTAAAAGAGAGAATCCCATCTCTGCTTAGCAATATTGACTTTGTAATCCTCATTTGACACATAAGGGACTGTTTCACCAATTTTCTAATCACTTTACACTTGTCAATGAGATCCCCATTTTTTTACTATCCTGAGTTATTTGTCTTGAAATTAATCTGAAATAATTTCCCGAGATCATCCTGTAAGACAGACCAGTGCTTGAATTTTTGAGCTTGTTGTGATCTGCAAATTATTTGGTAGTAGTTTATCACTGTGTCTGGGAATGGGATGGCTTTAATACATTTGAACTCCTCGCAGCTGGGATCCCCTACCAGACTCCTGAACAAGTTCTGATCCATTAGCATTTATACATGGAAGGGGAGAGTCACATGATTTCTTTTCTCTCCTCAAGGTTACTTAAGCATTAACATTTGCTGAGTCAACTTAAGAGGTTCCATGCTCCCTGATGGTCTACGTAGTTAAAGTTGATTGAGGAGACATTATTGACAATACTGTATGATCCTGCCCTTGTAAGTAACCCTTGACCCATTTTTCTGCAATTAACTCCTCACCTGTGCTCCTACAAGAGACCCTAGATAAACTCCCTGCTTCACCAAGCAAGACTTTGGTGGAATCATTTCTCTGATTTTTTTCTGTACTCTACAAGAGACTAATAACATTTTATTTTTATCCCAGGATATATTCATACGGCAGTCTAGAGACTGATTTTCAATCATTAGTCGGCTATAATCCCACTATGTATTTCAAAGATGCACACTCATCAACACATTTAAAGAATTCCTTCTGGGCCCTATAATCCTCAATTTTTAGGAAAATCTGAAACAAGGGAAAATCTAATCTTATTAGCTGACCATGATGCTTCAAGTTCATGCAACTGAGGTGCTTCTTTATTTTGACAGGTCCATCTGTGAAATGGGTGGGTAGTGATAGCACTTTGGAAGCACACCATCACCTTTCCATAGCTGTCAGTCTTTAAAGGCATTTTCACAGAGAGTGCACTCAAGAATAGTTTTAAGGAATGACACTCCAGCTAGATATTCAGTCTTTAATATTCAGAGGAAGAAGGGACCTATACCGTTGCAGACATTCATTAAGCTTTTCGAGCATACATTTACTTCAGAGCAGAGAGTTCAAATGCCTCCAGGATCCTAGCATCTGGTTTGTGTGCGTGTCATTTTCCACTGTCAGAACCACGTTGGCACCGGGTCCAATCCCATCCCTTTGTATATAAGGAGCAGGTGTTTGATCACCCATACTCTACTTTCTCCTTTCACAGAGGGAGTATTGAGGACAGTTAAT